GTGAGCTATTTGGTGCAAAGCGATCCGGAGGTAAACTCACGGAAGCCACTACTCAAAGAAAAGGAAAGACGACAGAAAACCTAGAAATAACAGGTGATCGGTCTATTCTGCAGTGCAGCCGAATCTCTGGAACGTATCCTGCTCAACTGGCTGGAAGCTGATAATATGGGAGATATTTGAAGAACAATGCAGAATTAGAAGCGGACGCAGTGTAATTAACCTTGCTTTTGCGGGAGATAAGCTGCAGTGAGTAGACCAGGCAGGGAACCAACTGCTGCACCCTCTGATCGTAGACTTCACGAAAACCTCAGTGAACAGAGTGAGAGAGAGAGGTGCTGTAGATCGTCCACCGGAAGTTTAAGTACACAGGAAATAAACTGTCAGCATCACCGAATCTCTTGACTTCGCTGTGAGTGTCGGAGTACCTATTAGTGAAACGTGTTCCACCAAGTTTGAAATTAGCATAAAAATGAGACAGGATTGTCTTCTATTCTATAACTAATCTGTGCAGAAGTGTCTCGCAAATTCGAAGATGGTCCACCGGTACGGTACCGTCTAGGAGGTTATCTTTTCGAATCGAATCGAAACGTGACCAAAACGAAGCTGCACAGGTCCAAGATCCGTATCCTGCTATTTCAGATGCTTAGTTTTAACTTGATCAATCAGCGAGGAGGGCGGCATCGCAGTGAATATTTAGCTTGGTTGCCTCGGCTGCATCTCGCTTCGGTGCAGATACATATGCCTACAAAATATTCGTCTTTGATCAACCGGACCAATGTTTACAGCAACAGAACTCGTGTAACAATATTATTGGCGATAGCATTGCATGATATGGAAACCTCTGCTGCCTCGGCAGTACCACGTCCGCAGTCGATACTGAACTGCATATTCGTGTAGCCAAGGTATGTGATGCATTCTGTCAGCCATATAAACTTACTTGGAACAAACACAACCTACGTGTAGACACCAAAGGAGCAATCTAATGGGCTATCATACTATCTTCAGTACCGTAGAGCTACCAGACATGGATACTGTACCGACAACACATTAGAATACTCGGCGGATTTCATTTACTTTGATTTTGAGAGTCAGATAGAGTCCCAAACAGTGAGCTACTCAGACAACTCAGGGTCAACGAAGGCA